TCACAGTGCTATAGAGCCTCTCCAAGTGGTTTCCAGAGTCAGCCTATTGCCCCCAACAATCTGAATCCTCATTTCACCCACCTCGGAAGGATGGAAGGCTGAGTCAACCTAGAGCCTGGTGGGATTGGAACTGTGAAATTGCAGCCAGCCGGCAGGCAGCAAAAGTAGGCTGCAGTACTGCATTCTAACCACTGCGCCAACACGGCTGTCCTCATGGCCATCATATGAGCACAGGAAAGGCCCACATGGCAACTAAGAGTTTCTCAATAAATGCACACATCTTGTCTCTCTTGGTCAGCAAGGATAAGGGTCTAAACTACATAGGTCAGTGTTTTTCAACCTTGGCCGCGTGGACTTCAGCTCCCCGAATTCCCCAGCCAGCATGACTGCCTGGAGAATTCTGGGAGCTGAAGTCCACACATCTTAAAGTGGCCATGGTTAAGAAACATTTAGATAGATGGTTGTATTTAAAAAATGTCAAGCTCTTTTATCCTTCAGATCTTCCTCCGGCTTTCATATCTTGAAGGGAGGCTCCCGTTTCATTCTGACCCTTTCCCGCTGTGCAGGAACGCACCCATACGTGTTCTATGCATACCGATAGATGCAATTTGGAACGGCGTAAGTTGTGCTTGAGTAACATGTTAGCATTGTTCTCTTCGCCCAACGCCAGACGTCCGATCTGATCATCCAGTGAAGACAACATGGTATGGAAAAGATAGCAGGCTTGTGAGGGGTCCAGTTCTACTGCTTGGGTCCTAAAAGCAGATAATGGAGAGAATGCAAAGGAAGACTCAGACTTGGCTGAGATAAAGAGAAAGTCATTGCCAAAAAAGGCACTTGGGATGTGGGGAAGGAAGGAGATTGTTAGTAGTCAGAAAATGGAACCATAACAAACCAAATCTTACATATCTTGGGTCACAATTTACTGTATTTTTTGGAGTATACGACGCACCAAGATTTTGAAGAGGTACATTTTTTAAAAAGGTTTTTGCACTCTGCAGGCATCCCAAACCCTTTGCATGCCTCGTTTTTTGCAACCAAAAAAAAAAA